GAGCTAACGGTGGCTTGGAGCCAACTCCACCAGGTTACAGTACTGTTTCGAAACAAAACACGCAATTAGAAGCTCCGTCAGGTTTACAGACCGAAATCGGCCAAAGTGAAGTAAACCAATTCACGACGCTATCACAGCCTCTCATCAGGCCAGTGGAGGCGAGACCCAGCAAGAAAGTTTTCAACAGAGAGCGGAAGACGGGCGAGTAGTTGATGTTGGGCAAATGGATAGAGCTCAACCTATACCGTACCAGAACTATAGGACTGACGCCAGGGTCTCACCAGGTACAAACTATCAACGTTTGAATTTTTGCCTTGAAGGTCACAAACGGATGTTATTTGCTCACCACTAACCGATATGAGTGCTGCATGCAATGCAGAGGCTCCACTAAACGAATATCATCGACTACCAACACTTGGAGGGGAGGTTACCCCAATTTATGAATCGGCGGTGGTACATATCCAGACGACACCACGACGTGCCTCGGAATGCACTAATGATGGCGGAAGGGTTTTTACCGAAGAAACAAACAACCCACCCAATGGTAGTGCCATCACCACTACTGGAGGTAAGGCTTTGGTTCAGATTTACGTCATAGATGTCCCACAGTTCTCATATTATTGCTTCGCTTTTTCTAGTAGGGACGTCAAACTCAGACAGGGTAATGCCGGTACTATCTCCAGCTCCTCGTGCTAGTCGTGGACCTGCAGTGTTTGTACCATCCCTTTACGTTAATACGCTCGTGGCACTTTCTCCTCCTCGTGAAAGCTGGATGAAGGCAAAGGTCTACAAAAAAGTTAGAACAGCATATATTGCCGGCCGCATCTGCACAACCGTCAAGTCAAAAAACCAAGGGGACAAGAATAGGCAAAGCAATAGTGCATCGAACCAGCGAACACCACTGCTCTTCCAAGTGCGTTGAATTGATTCGCAGTTTCAGTCTGAGCCGGAGAATATCTCGCTAAATTTGCGCAAAAAGGTCACGCCAATTACAATCTTCTCATGACAGACCCGGACACATTGTACTGGCAAACGCTTTGCGAAGCTGGCGATGATGCACTAGCTATTGGTGGTTGTATTGACGAGCTCCAAGAAGCCCCGGTTCCCTATTTCCCTGAGCAGTTGCTTCCCACAAGTTTGGCAGAGGTCGAAGCTATCAAAAGCATGCGATTCGATCCAGTTGCCTACATGGGCACACCAGAGACTTTATTTCAGCGTGTGGACGGATCAAACGACACCAAGCTTCGAGGTGAATTTCGATACATCTTCGAGCATTCAGCATCAGCGAGTTTTCTTGCCTACCTACCACTATACTT